AGTATTGATCCATGCACCAAGAGGTTGCCAGTTCGATTCTCGGTCAGGGCACATGCCCAGGTTGTGGGCCCAATCCCCAGTAGGGGGCGTGCAGGAGGTGGCCAATCGATGTTCTTTCTCATCGATGTTTCTATCTCTCTCCCTCTCCCTTCCTCTCTCTCTAAAAATCAATAAAGAAAAAAATTAAAATAAATCACTATTCTCTCTTTAAATATTGCCCCTCTGTATTTCATTATTAATTTTTGTAAATACAATTAGGCATATGTTGGACTTCTCATTCTGTAATGCATATACCTTAAACCCTGTTGAATATGTTATATTTATTCATTTTTACTATTTTACTTTTATTGAATTCTTTCACAATTTACTATTTCTTTGTCTAGCTTTGCCTGATATGTTGTTTAATTTATCAACTGATTTTGTGTTTAATTTCTGTGACTGCATTTCTTTAGATACTCTATTAGGTCCTTTTCCCTTCTTTCTGTCCTTCCTCAGAGCATCTCAGTATGTTATTTTTATTTTGGCCTTTATTACCTAAAACTTTTTTTTGGTCCATTTTTGTTGTTGTTGTTGTTGTTCAGATAGAGTGGGAGGGAGAGAGAAAGAGATACATAGACGTGAAAGGGACACATCGAGTGGCTGCCACCTGCACGACCCAACCAGGGCCGGGGACAAACTGCAACCGAGGTACATGCCCTTAGCGGGAACCGAACCCGGGTCTCTCTGGACCGCAGGTGCTCTAACCGCTGAGCCAAACCGGCCAGGACCAAAAACTATTTTAAACACATATAAAAATAGAAATATTAGTACAATTTATGTTCCGATCACCAGCTTTAATGAATATCACCTTATTGAGAGTTTTATTTTAAGGTATAAAATTACCTGTTTCACATTCTTCCCATCTTATTTTCAAGCAAATCCTAGACATGATAGCATTTCATTCATAAATATTTCAGTACATATCTCCTCATCTCTAAAAGCATATTTTTCTCTAACGGAGTTATAATGATATTATTACACATTAAAAATTAAAAATTTATTATCATCAGAAATATAACCAGTACTCATATTTCCAATTACATAAAAATGCCAACACTTTAATAATTTATTGGTTTCTTTATTTATTCATTTATTTACTTATTTGGTGATAAACTCAGAGACACAAAACCCAGCTAAAATGTGGCCAAATTCTGCTGAAAGTGAATGAACTAATAAATATTTACTGTTTCTCTCTCTTTTTTTTTTTTCATTTTAAAAATCACTTGGAGAGCTTTAATAGACACTGGGTACCATCCCATATTAATTCTCTCTTTTCTCCAACCATCCTTTCAATCCCCTCCCCTTTGGCAACCATCAGCTTGTACTCTGGATCTATGGGTCTTTCTGTTTCTTTTGTTTATTCATTTGTTTTGTCTTTTTAGGTGGCACATATAAATGAAATTATACGGTATTTGTCTTTGCTGTCTGACACAAGGGGTGGGGCAAAAGTAGGTTTACAGTTGTGAGTACACAAAACACAGAGTCTATTCTTGTATTATTATTTATTAATTATTGTATTATTTTCCATAGGAACAACGGTAAGCCTACTTTGCCCCATCCTGTATTTCACTTACCATGATATTTTCTAGCTCCCCCTATATTGTTACAAATGGAAAGATTGCATTGATTTTTATTGCTGAGTAATATTCCATTGTGTGTGTGTGCATGTGTGTGACATTTTCTTTATCCATTCATCTATCATTGAGCCCCTAGGTTGCTTTTATATCTTGGATATTGTAAATAATGCTGAATTGAACATAGGGATGCATATATAATTTTTTAATTAGTGTGTTTGTTTTTTAATAAATACCCAAAAGTGGTGTTGCTGGCTCATATGGCAGCTCTATTTTTAGATTTCTGAGGAATCTCCATACTGTTTTACATAGTGTATACACCAATTTACAATCCTATCAACAGTGCATGAGGGTTCCCTTTTCTCAATATCCTTGGATGCATTTGTTATTTATTGATTTTTTTTTTTTTTATAATAGCCATCTGACAAGTATGAGGTGGTATCTTATTGTGGTTTTAACTTGCATTTCCCTGATGATTAATTATGTTGATAATCTTTTTATATGTCTGTTGGCCATCTGTATGTCCTCTTTAGAGAAATGTCTATTCAAGTTATTTGTCCATTTTTAAATGGAATTGTTTGAGGTTTTTGTTTGTTTTTTTATGTTAAGATATATTAGTTCCTTATATACTTTGGATATTAATTCATTATAGGATATATTATTTGTGAATATCTTCTATTCAGTAGGTTGTCTTTTCATTTTGTTGATGGTTTCCTTCATCTTGCAAAAACTTTTTAGTTTTATGTAGTCTTGTTTATTTTTCTTTTGTTGCCTTAACCTGAGGAGACATATCCACAAAGATACTGCTAAGATCCATGTCAAAGAGTTTAGCGCATATGCTTTCTGCTAGGAGTTCTATGCTTTCAGGTCTTACATTTAAGTCTTTAATCCATTTTTAATTAATTTTTTATATGGTGCAAGAAAGTGCCCTGTTTCATTTTTTTGCATGAATCCGTCTGGTTTTTCCATCACCACTTATTGAAGAGACTGTCTTTACCCCATTGTATATTCTTGCATGCTTCATAGTAGATTGAGTGAACATACAAGTGAGGATTTATTTCTGGGCTCTCTATTCTGTTTCATTGATCTGTATATCTGCTTTTATGTTAGTATCATACTGTTTTGACTATTGTAGGTTTGTAGTGTAATTTTAAATCTGCATGGTATTGCTCGCTGTGTTCTTTCTTAAGATTTCTTCAGCTATTCAAAGTGTTTTATTGCTTCATATAAATTTTATGATTAATTATCCTAGTTCTCAGAAGAATGCCATTGGTATTTTTTAAAATATGTTTTTAATGATTTTTTAGAACAAGGGAAAGAGAGATAGAAACATTGACATGAGCGAGATGCACTGGTCGGCTGCTTCCTGCACACCCCCCACTGGGGATCAAGCCCACAACCTGGGCATGTGCCCTGACCAGGAATCGAAAGGGGACCTCTCAGGCCATGGGACAATGCTCAATCCACTGAGCCACACTGGCCGGGTACCATTGATATTTTAATAGAGATTATATTAAATCTTTATATTTATTGAAATAATAAGGACATTTTAAAAATATTAATCTTTCATACTGGTCGGTGTGGCTCAGTTGGTTGGGTGTCATCCCATGCACCAAAGAAAGGTTGCCAGTTCAATTCCCAGTCAGGGCACATGCCTGAGTTGTTGGCTCTATTCCTGGTAGGGGGCGTACGGGAAGCAGACAATCAATGTTTTGCTCTCATATCAATGTTTCTCTCTCGCTTTATTTCCCTTCCTCTCTCTCTAAAAAGTCAATTAAAATATGTTTTAAAAATATGAATTTTTCAAATCCCTGGGCATGGTATATCCTCCCACTTATTTGTATCTTCTTCAGTTTCTTTCTTCAACATCTTATAGTTTTCAGAGTACAGGTCTTTCACTTCTTTGGTTAAATTTATTCTTACATATTTTATGTGGTTTTTTAAATGCAATTGTAAATGAAATTGTTTTCTTAATTTCTCCTTTTGATCATTCATTATTTGTGTATAGAAATGCAACAGATTTTTATATATTAATTCTATATTCTGCAAATTAACTTATTTTTTAGTTCTATGGTAGAGTCTTTAGGGTTTTCTATACATAGTATCATATCATCTGCAAATAGTGACAATTTTACTTCTTCCTTGCCAATTTGGAAGCCATTTATTTTTTTCTTGTCTTAATGTTGTGGGTAGGACTTCCAATACTATGGTGAATAGAAGTGGTGATAATGGGCATCTTTGTCTTGTTCCTGACCTTAGAGAAAAAGCTTTCAGCTTTTCACTATTAAGTAATGATATTATCTGTGGGTTTGTCATTTGTCACCTTTATTATGAAGTATGTTACTTCTATACTCAATTTGTTTTTATTATAAAAGAATGTTGTATTTTGTCAAATGCTTTTTCTGCAACTATTGAGATGATATGATTTTATTTTTTACTTTGTTGATGTGATATAGCATATTGATTAATTTACAAACAAACCATCCTGTATTCCTGGGAGAAATCCCACTGGATCATGGTATATAATTCTTTTAATGTATTGTTGACTCCAGCTTGCTAATATTTTGTTGAGAAATTTTGCATCTATGTTCATCAAAGATATTGGACTTTAATTTTCTATTTTGGTAATATCTTTGTCTGGTTTGTTATCATGGTAATTCTGGCTTTGTAGAATGAGTTTGGAAGCATTCCCACCTCTTCGGTTTTTCTGGATAGATTGAAAAGAAAGCTGTCTGGTCCTGGACTTTTGTTTGTTTGGAATTTTTTTTTATTATTGCTTCAATTTTGTTGCTAATAATCAGTCTGTTTAGATGTTCTATTTCTTACTTGTTCAGTCTTGGAAAGTTATATGCTTCTAAAAATTAATCCATTTCTTGTAGATTGTCCACTTGTTACATAATAGTTCATAATATTCTCTAATGATTCTTTTTCTTTCTGTGCTGTTGGTTGTAATTTTTTCTTTTATTCATTTGGGCTCTATATTTTCTTGATGAGTTTGGTTAAAGATTCATCATTTTTGTTTAATAGTGTATTGGTTTAAATAAACATCCAAACATATGTACTGCCTTGGTCGATGTGGCTCAGTTGGTTGAGAGTTGTCCTATGAACCAAAAGGTTGCTGGTTCAATTCCCAGTCAGGGCACATGCCTGAGTTGTGGACTCAGTTCCCAGTGGGAAGGTGTGTAGGAGGTGGCTGATCAATGCTTCTCTCTCACGTCGATGTTTCTTTCTCTCTCTTTCTCCCGTCCTCTCTCTCTAAATTCAATAAAAACATTAAAATAAACATATACGTACAAGTTATAATTGATTGATATACATTTTACTTATAAAACTATAGAGCTAATCTTCCATTTCTCTCATTTTATTTATTTTTTTTTGCATAATTACTGAAGAACGTGGATCATTTCTTGTGTAGCGTTTTCCATGTCTACATTCTGCCGATTGCATCTCTGTCGATTTTTTCTATTCGTCTTCTCGTTTTTAAAATGTCCTACAAATTAGAGGAAAATATAGGTTTAGTCAGATTCAAGGTTTTTATTTTTCATTTGCCAGGAACATGTCATAGATATTTTCTTATTACTTCTAGAATATCTCTGGCTGTCTTACTTCCTATGTATTAGCAGTCATTGGTTTTCAGTGACTAGGTTACGAATATACTGTTATGTTACTTTATTTAAATAATTATTATATTGGCAACTATTATAATACAGATATTTATTTTTAAATTAATATTTTCTTGATTAATTTGTTTTATTTATTTCTCATATATTAGTTTTCATCTAATATTTTATATATTCTCATTTCCATTTGAAATTTTTTCTTAAATAATTTTCATATAATCTATGATAATGATGAATTCTTTAAGTTCTTGAATATAAGAAATTATTTAGAATAGGTAAATTTGTTGGCTAAAAAAACACCCATTAGAATCCCATATTTTGTTATTGTTTCTTCTAACATCTAATGATACAAATAAGATGTTCACTGTCCATTTAATGCTATGTTCATTTAAGAAAATTATATCAAGAAAGCAATGAGAATTACTCATGGTTTTGTGAATTTACATTCACCTACAGGGAGTTTTTAGGGGGAAATTGTGTATCTGAGAATTTCTTAGCCTCATTTACATCAAAATGTTGGCAGAAAATCTGAAGAATTTTTAGCTTACTACCTATTACTTGGTATTCTGGCTGAACAAAGGGGGAGAAATGGTAAAATTCATTCAAGGGGGCAGGGTGAACAGAGTTAAATAATGTTAAGTTGAACCACGTCTTAGTAATTTTCAGTGAACAGAATATCGTAAGAGCTGGATAAGCCAATTTATGTGGACAACAATGTCACAACATGAGCTTGGAGAGACATGCATTGCACTCTCTTTTGGTGTTAGAGATACAGATTTCAACATAAAACCTGACCTGGATGTTGTAGAACAGTGATAAATCTGTGATTCTGTGTGTTACTAGCTGAAGGACAGAAGTCTGAAGGTCAGAGCAGAATCAGAGCCACTCTGTGATTGTACACTTGAGATACTGCAACTTAACCTTAGTATATAAATGTATAACTTGACAAAACATAGTTTGGGACTTATTTTGTTCTCACTCTGAAAAAAGGATGAACCTTAGGCTAACAGCAGGCAGAAAGTGGGGACTTACAGGGAATGGAATATGTAGTGGAAAATGATAGATTAGAGTCATCACTAACTCTGACCACTTACCTCTTACTGTCCAGTATAAGCCAAAGATGAGCATAACATAAAATATCATCAGAATAAATACCATAGTTGCAACCTCCCATAGCCAGTCGTTGTATAAGGAAAATAAAGGACCTAAAGGAGGGACTGAGAATGGTATAAAAATTAGGAAATTAATTGAATTGAGAACTAGGGGGAGAGAATATTCAGAAATCAACATTTAGTATAACTTTACTTGTATTGATAATTTACTCTTTAGAAGTCATCGTTTTACTCCTTAACGTGGACCAATTCAATGAACTCTTATTACAACTATATAAAATAGATTCTCTAATATTCTTTTATTACCTTATCATTAATTTTGAATTGATGTTATAATAAGATAAAACTTGGATAAGTAGAATATATTTTGTGTTTGGGATAAATGTGAATCTTTGGGGATGAAACAGGTTGTCATAGGCAGAATGGATCCCCCAAAGATGCCTATATCCTAATCCTTGGAACCTATGAATATGTCCCATTGCACACAAAAAGAGACTTTCCAGATATAATTAAGGTAATGAAAATTAAAATAGGAAAAATTCCCAAGAATATTTAAGTGGGGCAAATCTAATTATATGAACCAAATAAAGCAGAGACTTTCTCTGGCTGCAGTCAGAAACATGTGGCAGAGAGAAGTCAGAGATTTCAAATGCTGAAAGCGATTTGACCCACCATTGCTGGCGGAACATCAGAAAAAGCATGTGAAGAAATCCAGGCAGCCTTTAGTCCTCCCGCTGATAATCAGCAAGGAAACGGGACCTAAGTCCTACAACTGCAGAGAACTGAGATTGTCTAATAAACAAAATAAATTTGTAAGTAGATGAGTGAAGCCCTGAGTATAATCTATCCTGGGGTAAAATTTCCTTTCATCATGAACTGTGAAACTAGAAAAAAAGTATCTGTTCTAAAATATAATGGTGCAATAGGCACAGGAAACTAGTTATAGACATTCCCATTGAAATGCAGAGAAAATAAGGGGGGAAAAGAGTAATTACTACTCTTGAGCAATTTCAAAATTCAACCAGGCAGACTTTATTAGGTTTTAAGACCTGGGATAATCCTCTGGGTCTGGAGTCACTGTTCTATTTTAATAAAGAATAGTACATGGTAATTGGCTGAATAATGGACTTCAAAGAGAGTAAAGATATAATTCATGGTATCTTATGTGGTAAAAGAGTATTTGCAGTTGTCATTAAGTTAAAGATCTTAAGATGGGAAGAGTATTCTGAATTATCTGGGTGGGCCCAATGCAATAACTAATACCTTAAAAAGAGGGAGGCAGTTTATTTTATACACAGAGGAGAAGAGGATGTGAAGACAGAACAGAGAGAGATTTAAAGATGTTATGCTGTTGGCTCTAAAAATGGAGGAATGGGCCATGAACCAAGAAATGCAAAGATGAAGCTTTAGAAACTATAAAAGGCAAACGGATTTTTATAGACCCTTTGGAGGATTCATAGTCTTTGTGACACCTTGGATTCAGCCAAGTGATACCTGTGTTCCTCTAAGACAACAAATTGGTGGTAATTTGGTACAGAGGCTATAGGAAAATAATATGCATTTGCAGGTTAGTTTTACTCTCTGATTTCCTGTCAGAAATATTTGGAAGTTCAACAGTCTTCTTTCATTTTATCTTTCTGTCTCAGTACAAGTAGCAGCATTTCTGCTGGTATAACATTCTCAGAAGCCTTGAAGTTCTCCTGTGTATGTTACAGGGACAAACTCAAGACATTCCTCAACACACATTTCCAGGATAATATCATCTTTATCCCTGGTTTCTGTTGATATTGGTGAGGGTATCCATGAATGACACATCTAGTCTAATCTAATTATGCAACTCTGCATGATTGAATACTCTGATTTTTTTCTCTCTCCTTCAGCAAAAGATTGCCCAAACATACTCTTGGCTTTCTCTCTAGAGCACACTTTCCTGTTAGTGACTCTCCTTATTTCAGCATCTTTTACCATCTGAATTTCTGAGAACTCCCCATATCATTAAGTCCTGATTTCTTTCTTTAACAGTTGTTACATCAGTCTTTTTCCTCCCTCTCACATTTTACTGTAAGCAGCAGAAAGAAACCAAGCCACATATTCACATGGGAAGTTACAAAACACTTTTAGAAGAATAAAAATATAAACAGAACATAACAAAATGTATGCAAAAAATATAAAGCAGCACTTAGAGGAAAAATCATAGTTATAAATAATGCCTAAATTAAAAAGGAAGAAAAATCTCAAACCTATAACCTAACTTTATACCACAAGACACTGAAAAAAGACAAGCATACTATATTCAAAGCAGACAGAAGGAAGGAAATGATAAAAAATTAAAGCAGAAATAAATTAAATAGATAATACAAACACAATAGAGAAAAATCAATAAAACCAAGAGTGAGCTGCTTGAAGAGATAAACAAAATTAACAAACTTTATAAAGATAAGAAAGAAAAGGAAAAAGAGAAAAGACTCTAATTAGTAAAACCAGGAGTGAAATGGGGGACATCATTTCTAAGATCACAGAAATAAAAAGGATTTTAAGGGAATGTTATGAAGAAATGAATACCAAAAATCTATTTTTTAAAATTCTCACCCAAGGATATGTTTCTATTAATTTTTAGATGAAATGGAAAGAAGAAAGGGGGGAGAGAAAGTGAGAGACACATTGATTGCTTGCCTCCCACATAACCCCAACCAGGGTGGGGGATCGAATCTGCAACCAAGGTACATGCCCTTGACTGGGAATTGAACCCATAACCTTTGGGTCCCTGGGCTGACAATTTAATGGTTGAGCCAAACTGGCCAGGGCCCAAAATTTTAGATAATTCAAAGAAAATGGACACAGTATTAGAAAGATCCAAACAGTGAAATGGACTCAGGAAGGAAAAGAAAACATGTATAGACCTATAAGATGTAAAAATTTTAATTCATATGTTAAAAAATTACCCACAAAGGAAAGCTTAGGCTCAAATGGTTTAACAAGTAAATTCTACCAAGCCTTTATAAAATTTGTACCAATCCTCATAAACTCTTCCAAAACAGAAAAGACAGAATCACTTCTAAATTGAGTGGATGAAACCAGTGTTACTCTTATATTAAAACCAGACAAACATATCATAAGAAAACTATAGACAAATATATCTCATTAATATAGACACAAAATCCTAAACCAGAAGAAATTATTCCTCAATTTAAAAAGTAATACTAGCAAACCAAATCATGCCTTATATAAAAAATGTTATTCACCATGACCATGGAAAACTTGTCCGAGGAATGAAAGGTTAGTTTAAATTCTGCAAATTAATGCAATACAATGAATAAAAGACCAAACAGCAGAATCATCTTAATAGATTGAGAAAAAGCATGTGATGAAGCAGAAGACCTTTTCATGATAAAAATAATAAAAAAGTCAGGGATGAAAAGAACTTTCAGTTTGATAAAGAGCCATCTATGAAAACACCCACAGCTAACATCAAAATATGTAGTGAAAGAGTTAAGATGTCCCTTTAGATCAGTGACAATACAACTTATTCTCTTACCACTTATATTCTATGATGCAATGAATTTCCTAATCAGAACAATTTGGGAATAATAAGAAAAGAAAGTTATCCAGATTGTAAAGGAAAGAGTAAATCTCAACAGATAACATAATCTCATATAATAGAAAATCCTGAGAATTCACACACACACACACACACACACAACTATTAGAACAAATAAACAATGAATAAATAAATTTACCAAGGCTTCAGGATACAAGATAAATATACAAATATTACTTGTGCTTATATAGTTAGCAATAGTCAAGACAAATGTGAAATTTAGAAAACAACTCTGCCTCCAATAGCATTAAAAAGGATAGAATTCGACACACAAGAGCAGGGGCAGTGTCTCTGCAATTTGATGACACACTTGTTGTGAAGAAATTGTACAAACCACAAGGAACAACATTTCATGGACAAGCTAAACTGGCATTCAAGAGCAAAGCTCTTGGCTTTGGGTTCAAGATGGTGGAGTAGTATCACTTCTCGGCCTTTGGGCTAAGATCAAGTGAAATATCTGTCCTCATCACTTTAATATCTGATATGTCCTCTATCAGAGGACAATATATTAAATGTATTTTTGGCACAGGGAGATGCAACTGGAGCTTGCTTCATCCACTTCACACATCAACTCAGTTTTGCAGCTCTTCCAGGAATGGTGCACCAAAAAGAAAGATGATGGAGTAGGAAGATCTTGAGTTCACCTCCTTGTATTGACTTTAAAACCACAGCTACATATGGAGCAGCTATCTCTGAGAATGACTTGAAGACTAGCAGAACAGGTTTTCTATACATGTGGATATACAGAAAAAGCCACATTGAGATGGGTAGAAGGGGTAGAGCCTGAGTAAAGTAAGACCCGCCCTCAACCCACTCCCTGTGCAGTGACCCACAAATGGGAGGCACGTCACAATAATAGAAGTCCCCACTGAAGAATGAGGAGTCTGAGCTGCAGCCTGGGGGACCTGCACCAGGAAGAGGAGCCCTATAACATTTGGCTTTGAAAATAAGTGAGGCTTATGTTTGGGAGAGCCAAAACAAGTTGTGTTTTTATGAGTCCCAGCAGAAAGGCAGCAGTTTGAAAAGCACACAGGTCATATGTGAATGTGATATATTAACTAATTTTAGGGTGCATGCTGGAGGGACATGGATCTCTTAGAACTTTCTCAAAAGACAGAAGTTCTGGTGGGTGCCATTTTCCCCATTATTTACTTTCCTTCCACCTAGGTGGTCTGACACAGGCTGGTGCCATTTATGACACTTTCCATTAACCTCACTAGTACTGTTCACCCCAACCTGGCATTTGCCTAAGGACACACCCAGCTGGCACCCCTCCAAAGCAGCTCCTGTCACACCCCATGGGCAGCCTCAGTTGGCACCACCACCCAGCAGTGTGTCTGTAACAGTCAAGGCTGGGCCTCATAGCCAACCACACCTAGGTCTTGCCCTGTATAACAGTGTGTCCACAACAGTTGTAGCTATGCCTCAGAATTAGTCAGGCCAGGGACCAGCCTTGCCTGCAGTATGTCCATAGCAGTGTGGCTTAACCACAACAGGAGGCCACACTAGTCCACATAGGAAACACCTCTGATGCACCTGACTCTGCTGAGAAGGGAGGATTCCACAATTGTGTCCACAGGATACCTTTTCAATAAAGCCACTTTTTCAAGTCCAGGAGACATAGCTGATCTATGTAATACATAGAAACAAACAGGCAAAATGAGGAGACAAAATAATATATTCCAAACAAAAAGAAAAAAAATCAAGACAAAACCCTAAAACACAAAATAGAGGTAAGACTTAAAAATAATAGTCATAAAGATGCTCATCAAACTCTGCAGACAAGTGAAAAATTTCAACAAAGAGATGAAAATTATAAAAAATAACCTATCAGAACTGAAGAATATAACAGCTGAAATGAAAAATACTTTAGAGGAAATCAAGAGATCAGATGACACAGAAGAATGTCACAGCAATAAAAAAGACAGGATAGTGGAAATCACCCAATTGGAAGATAAAAAAGAAAAACAATTTACAACAGGGCTGGGAAACCTTATTTTCTGCCAAGGGCCATTTGGATATTTATAACATCATTCTTGGAGCATACAGAATTATCAACTTAGATATTAGCCTGCTATATTTGGTCAGGCTAATTTGGTGAAGTGTGTGATGTCAGATGGTATTGATGTCATGGATCTTATATGGCCCATGGGCAAGACACTCCCGACCTGGTTTAAAAGAATAAGGATACCATAAGGAACTCGTGGCACAATATTGAATGTACTAACATTTGCATCATAGGGGCCACGGAAGAAGAGAGAAAGGTACAGAAAACCTATTTAAAGAAATAATGGCTGAAAACGTCCTTAAGTTGATGAAGAAAACAGCTATCCAAGTCCAGGAAACAAAGAGAGTCTGAAATAAGATGAACCCAAGAAGATGCACATTAAAACACATCAGAATTAAAATGTTAAAAGTTAAAAATAAAGAGAAAATCTTAAAAACAGCAAGAGAGGGGGATTCCAAAATGTCGATGGAGTGAATGGAAGTGACACAAACCATCTCCCAGGATCAAACTGGAATTACAACTAAAATAAAGACAAATTATTGGAAGAAAGCAATAGAAAAGCAGCTTGTGAGGACCATTAATCAGGGACACTGAGTCAATCCTGGTAGGATTGTGGAGGTGTGAGAGGGCAGCTGGGAGCCCACAGACAGCAGCAGTCTGAGCTGTGAGCAGTGCCTTCAGGGTTAAAATCCCAGGCAGGCTCCACAGCACAGAGGGCCAGGACAGAGGCTAAATAAGCCACAGCCACTTACCTTGGGCTCTGGCAGAGGGAGAGCAGACTGGACTGGAACTGTGTGAGGACACTTGGGATTTGGAGGGCACTCAGAGCTTTTGCTGAGTTGTGGCCACGCAGGATGGTGGCCATTTTACCCCTTCCCGGGGCTCTGAGGAGAGGCAGCAGCCCCTCCCTTGGAGATTCAACAACACCCAGGTGGGCCAAAGAAATGCAAATTGAGGCTCATTACCAATCAGCATCTGCCCCACCCTCCGGAAATCCCTTTACACTGAATATCTGAGGGAGGTGTTCATTCAACTGAGAACCCAAGGCTCTTCAAATAACCCCGACTAATAGCCTCCAGGCAAAAAGCTAGAGGATAACTGAACTTTTTCTGGGCTTGCAAATCTACCGAGGAAAGTAAGACTTGACAGTGGTGTTTCATGTGGGTCCTCCCACGCTCATCTAACCCAGTAGAGGGAGCCACAAACTGAACACCAACACCCACAGGGAAAATTTGACCGGCTCCAAAACACTGAGATAGCCAAAATGGTGAAACAAAGAAACAAATCCCAAATGAAAGAAAAAGAGACCTCTACCAAAGATGAGATAAATGAAATGATGTTAAGCAAGTTAACAGAGCTAGAATTCAGAGCCATGATCTTGAGGAAGCTCAACAGCATGAGTAAGAACTTCAACACCATGAGTAAAGACATAGAAACATTGAAAATCAACCAATTGTAAATGAAAAACCACGAAGAAGAAATGAAGAATGACATAGGAGAAATAAGGAGCACACTGGAAGGACTAAACAACAGAGTAGAGAAGCTGAGGACTGGATCAGTGAATTAGAAGACAGGATAGAAAAAAATCAACCAATCAGAAAACCAAAAGGAAAAAACAATGAAAAAACAAGAACAGCTTAAGAGAACTGTGGGACAACTGGAAACGTAATAATATTTGCATCATAGGAGTCCCCGAAGAAGAAGAAAATGAGCAAGGGTTAGAGAATATATTTGAAGAAATAGTGACAGAAAACTTTCCTAATTTGGTGAAGGAAGAAGGCATTCAAGAACAAGAAACATAGAGAACCCCAAGTAAGAAGAACCCAAACAGGCCACACCAACACACATAGTAATTAAAATGCCAAAAATTAAAGACAAAGACAGAATCCTGAAAGCAGCAAGAGATAAGAAACAGGTTACCTACAAAGGAAACCCCATAAGGCTCTCAGCTGACTTCTCAACAGAAACACTACAGGCCAGAAAGGAGTGGCATGAAGTAATCCAGGTCATGAAAAACAAGGATCTGAATCCAAGACTACTCTATCCAGCAAGGCTATCATTCAAAATAGAAGGTCAAATAATGAGCTTTCCAAACAAAAAAAGGCTAAGGGAATATATTAACAGCAAACCAACACTGCAAGATATGCTAAAAGGACTGCTGTAATTAGTAGAAGAAACTAAACAAAAATGGCAATAAATAAGTACATTTCAATAATCACCTTAAATGTAAATGGACTGTATGCTCCAATAAAAAGACACAGAGTAGCTGGTTGGATAAGAAAGCATGACTCATGTATATGTTGTTTACAAGAGACCCATCTTACAACAAAAGACTCACATAGGTTGAAAGTGAAGGGATGAAAAAAAATCTTCCAAGCAAATGGAAAGAAAACAGCTGGGGTAGCAATACTCATATCTGATAAAATAGAATTTAAAGTGAAGGCCATAACTAAAGACAAAGAAGGCCACTACATAATATTGAAAGGATCTATCCAACAGGAAGATATAAACTTGGTAAACATATATGCACCCAATATAGGAGCACCAACATATATTAAAAATCTTCTGGAGGACTTCAAAGGAAAAATCGATAGCAATACAATCATAGCAGGGGACTTCAACACCCTGTTGATATCACTGGATAGATCCTCTAGACAAAAAATTAAGAAGGAAACAGAGATTCTAAATGAGGCACTAGATCAAATCGATTTAATAGATATCAACAGAGAACTACACCACAAAACTACAGAATTCACAATCTTCTCAAGTGTACATGGGACATTCTCAAAGATAGACCACATGTTAAGACACAAACTAAGTGTCTACAAATTCAAGAAGGTAGAAATCATATCAAGCACCTTCTCAGATCACAATGGCATGAAACTAGAAATCAATTGCAACAAGAACATGTAAAGACATTTGAATACATGGAGGCTAAATTGCATGCTATTAAACAATTAATGGGTTACTGAGGAGATCAAGGAAGAAATTAAAAACTTCCTGGAAACCAATGAAAATGAACACACAACAACACAAAATCTATGGGATGCAGCGAAAGCAGTTCTGAGAGGGAAGTTCATAGCACTACAGGCCTGTCTCAAAAAACAAGAAAAATTTCTAATTGACTATCTAACCTCACAACGTAAAGAATTAGAAGCAAACAAAAAGAAAACCCCAGAGCAAATAGAAGGAAGAAAATAGTAAAGATCAGAGCAGAAATAAATGACATAGAGACCAAAAAAACAATTCAAAGGATCAATGAAACAAAGAGCTGATTTTTCTAAAAGATAAACAAGATCGATGGACCCTTAGCTAGACTCACCAAGAAACAAAGAGAGAGAACCCAAATACACAAAATCAGAAATGAAAGAGGAGAAATAATAACTGACACCACAGAAATACAAGGGATCATTAACGAATACTATGAACAATTACATGGCAACAAATTCGACAATCTAAGCATAATAGACAAATTACTAGAAACACATAGTTTCCCAAAAATGGACCAGGAAGAGATAGAAAACTTGAACAGACCAATAAGAATTAAGAAAATTGAAGAGATAATCAAGACTCTCCCAGCAAACAAAAACCCAGGCGCGGA